CACAAGCTGATTTACTAAGAGCCCATGCACTATTTTTGCTGACCACATGAATCCATTTTCATAAAAACTTAGAAGAACTCCTAGTGGACCATTTCTGATMTGGTCTAGCTCTTCTAATGGGATTTGGTTTGACAAAACAGGTAGGTTTTCCAAACTTGAATGGTATGTAAAGCTTCTGCGGAATCTAGGCTCAGTTCCAAGCGTAAACAACCGCGTAGGTAGTGATCTAGGTGCTACCTTTTCTACAGTTGACATTATCTATTACCTGYTTGGAAACAAACAGTAGCAAAATTTCAAAAATAGTAAACAACTCTCTGCACACAAAAAGATTAACGATGTAACTGAAGTTGAGAGAAATTATATATTAACACACATATCTTCCACTTTCGAATGAGATTTACAATTAAATATGAAAACAAAACAAACAAACAATGAGATAATCACGAAACCCTAACAATAAAACGAAAGAAATGTTGTGTTACCTCTATTGTATTACTATGATTTCGGCGACAATGGATTTCGAGACGGTGGAGTTTGCGGCTTTGAGTAGGCGTCGTGGAGTTTGCGGTGATGGAGTTGGAGATAATGGTTTTAGGGTTTGTAGATATTTTATAAGAAAGATACGCTTTATCAAAGAAAATTTTTTTTATAGATTATTAGATTGATGATATATTAGTTTTTAATATTATAAATAAATTTTTAAATAAAAATTAAGAAAATTAAACCATTTTTTTTTCCTAATTTAATTTGTTAAGTAAGGTTAAAAACGTCATTTCAACTATTAAAATAGAGTACTTTTCAAAGTGTAACAAATTTGGTATAGATTTCAAATTTCCCATAAGATTTAGGGTATACAATCTAATTTCTAAAAAAAACAATCAACGTGCAAACTCTGACTCTAATCTTAAACTTAAGCTAGAGACAAAACATATAAAATCTTAAATGAGTGACCACTAATAAGACCAGATTCATGAATCTTCGCTAAAGTTGTTTGAGCTGTAATGTAAAAAGATGACGAGAGCAAACCTTGTAATATTTTGAACAAAATGTTCCTCAAAATTTGGAGGACCACTTGTTTGGCACTTTTGTGTTGCCTTCCTGAAAAGTCCAAATCTATTTCATAGAAAGAGAAATGAAGAAACGACCGTCTCGTGTTTTTCAATCTTTTATTTTATTTTATTGTTAATTTCCTTTGTAATCAGTCTTCTCGTGAATTCTCCCACTATTATGTGATTGTTGAAAACTTTATAAAAGTGATATATTTGACGTTTCTCATGACAAATCATTTTAAGAGTGTTTTTCTTCCCATTGTAAAAGATATGATTACAACATAAAAATAATAGAGGTTTCACGAAAAAAATATAAATATAATAGTCTTTGCATGTATAATTTTTCATGTAACTAACAAATTTTAATATTTTAAAAAAAAAATTCGAGTTTTGATTTATAGAATAAACCTAGAGATGTAATTTTATGTCGAAATAATAAAAACAAACATGAAAATGGTTTTATTAGCTATCAAACGTAACGGATGGTACATAAAATTCAAAAACTAAATATTCATTCAACACTTTATTTAACATCAATAAAATTATATAAATAAAATTATTTAAAGTGGCTAATTAGTATTGTAGTATCATTATCCTAAAACTGTGTGCAGTGTTACGAGTGGGAAATAAACGAAAGAAAGCTCTACTTAACGACAACATTATAAATAGGTTAAAAGATAGAAGAATAATGGGTCGAAATAAAGTGTGATTAGTAAATTTATAGCATCTTTGAGGCAGTCCACTACTTTTAAATCCTTTTTTCTACAATTTCAAAATTGGTATTTGCTATTATCTAAAAACTCTTTTTAATACATATACGAAACTCGTGAGACGACGCTACATTTGGCTTGTAAAGTCTTACCCACAAACTATTATCAATAGCTTAGTTCAAATTTGACTATCAATTGAAAACCATAAGTTTCTAATAAAAAAGTTGGACAAGTCGTAATATACAAAGCCAAATTGAGATACCACCTATACTCTTGGAAAATTCAAGAGCTCTCTATCTAATGAAGAAGCAATGCCTACAAAAATCTGAAAACATGAGAAGTCATATAGATAGATACATGTCACTTGGTCGCACTTGTACTAAAACCCATATACGCCGACGCAGCATATGTCAACGCTGATGTCTCACTTCCCACGTGCTGCTCACATGATTCCTACTTCGCTAGCAAACCAGAAAATCCGCCAAATTGGATTTGGTAACACAAAACGATAAAACGTATTTTAACGGTATTAAAAAAAATAAAGGAATAATGTTACTATTACATTTTTTTTGTGATCGAAGACCGTCGGAACGGTATACTATTTACCGCAACAGTAAAAGTACAAATCAAATTTATTATTTTAAAGTTTTGGCTATGAGATATTTTCTTCTAGATTGCATAGGAACGGAAACGGATATGTAGAAACGAAATATTTGAAAATGTGGAAACGATTTTTTTTTTAAAAAGTAGAAAACGGGTACGTTTTGAAAACGCACATATATATATATATGAATCAATAACATTAAAAATAATATTTAAAATAATTTGAACAACACAAATTATATATATATGAATATTAAATAGCTTAAGAAAAAGGGGGGGGACTTGGTTTAATAATATAAAATTTTTATCTAATTTGAAAACTAACTCATGTTTTCAAAAATTTGAAAACTAACTTTCTTAAAGTAATAAACAGTAAAAACTTTA